AACAAACACGCCCGCGTAAAATTACAACTCCCGCTGTGGAACTTGAATTTTACAACGGTTTTGTGACGGCATTGCTTGACTCACAAGCGCAAAAGTCATATACCACCCGAGTTTTGCAAACAAACACAATTCCGCTCAAAACAATATCGAACTAATCAGCGCGCCGACTAAATCGCACGGTCAATCATCGTCGGTAACAAAAACGGATGCGCTTTCTTCGATCAAAATGACACTATTTTAAATAATCTTACTATCAACCACAGTACTTTCACAAAAACTTCACCAACACCCCTACAGCCCCACTGTCATTATAGTGGGCACGCTGTAGCACCACACTTCACCACCACCACACCCCTCATCCACAATGAGGACCATAAGATTATTCAAAATACTTGTCACACGTTCGTAGACGTAATAGGTAACGACTATAGCGCGAGTCGGGCCAACGATATGTTGACCACCGTGGGGGAGGGGAATACGGCAGGAACGGCCTACCCGCTTATGGCAATTAATACTGCCGGCGAACAAACCGTTTCAACGCTCCCCGTTCGAACCGCTAACCACCTGAGTATTGCCGCACAAACACGCCCGCGTAAAATTACTACTCCCGCTGTGGAGCTGGAATTTGACAACGGCTTTGTGACGGCCTTACTTGACTCTCGAGCGCAAAAATCGTATACCACTCGAGCAACAGCTCACAAATTTGGAATTGTGCACAACGGACAAACACCCCCAGTTAGGTTAGCTGACGGCCACACAACAGACACGGCCGGCACAGCTACCTTTATAACAAAAATTGCGGATCTACAAGTAAAGTTCACAGCTGTTATCATAGAGAATCTGTATTGTGACGTACTTCTGGGACACGACTTTCTAACAGAACAGGAAGTCTCCTGGGACTACGCTGCAGGTACAATTCACTTGGGCGCGACGCGACGCACTACAGCTTATTGGAAAGCGAGTACTCGACACACGCTACCCGATGTAGATCTATCAACACTAGTTATAGCAGGCGACCCACACACGCGCGAACAATCATCACAGATAGTGAAAAACTGCGCTACGTTTTAATGACACAGTGGGACGCACAACGCTTATTGAATACACATCACTCACTTTACTAGTGCCAGCCCGAGAATAGAGGCTGACATCACCACCCTTAGCACCAAACATGGAGGAGACATCGTTTTTAACAACAAAGTAGCGGCAACAACAATAACAGCAGAAACAACACAGTAGCGTCAACAACAATAACGGCAGCAACAACACAGTAGCGGCAATAACAAAAACGGTAGCAACAGCACAGCAGCAGCAACAATACAGTACCGGTAGCATCATCCAAATTAGCAGCGGTGAAACAGCGACCAGCGGAGAAACCCATGGAAATGGATTACACGCACTCACCCCTTAGATCACCCACAGACAACGTGAGTTTGGCGGCATTCACTGCTATACGCGATTGCCTTCCCGGCCGTCATTAAGTAGACCGGCGGCTTGGCGGGGGGGTATTTGACACGGCCCGCGTCGCTTCGTTATACACGATGCCCCGCGACTCGTGCCACCTTTATCAGCCGTCGCCCTACTATGAGTATTTGACTGACCAACACCGCGTGTTATACGCTACGGTGCAAAGTCCAGCAAATGCCGCACGGCCGACGACGACCCGCCGCAAATGGTGCGAGAGTCTTCCTCCCGCTGTGAAAGCGACAACGTCGACAGCCGAACCGCACCCGCGCACCGTCGCCTACAACGCTGCTAACCATTTTGCCGTCCAAGGATTACGCCGAACATCGCGTCGTCGACGCCAGCGAAAGTGCCGCGATATTATGCGAAGATTATTATTACTGTGTTTATCTTTTCGGTTTGTTTTATTTTTGTTAACATAATCTGTTGTCGCTCATTTAATAAACGGCCCACGGGTCTCTACCCTCAAAACCAGTGTCGACCACATTTTTGCGACGCAAGTCGTGTCACATTTCAATAGATATACTATTTCTCCAGCTTTTAAAGCTGTATAACCTGGTCCTTCACTCATGAAAAAAGCAAATTCAGAAATGCTATACGATGCTAAAGTTAATTTTTGCATTAATAATTTACGTTCTAGATTACATTGTTTTAACACTAAATCTGTGTACATCGAAACTACANAATTTACGTTCTAGATTACATTGTTTTAACACTAAATCTGTGTACATTGAAACTACAGAGGACCTTATAAAATTTTCTATATAGACAAATTTTATATTAATGTATGCTAATAAATCAGTATTACAGGTAGAAATTGGTTTTGATTTAAAATTATTCATATATAGCATGTCAGTAAGAATTAAAAGTCTTTAAAAACTACATTTTGTTATAATATAATCAGCTACAATGTAGCACGATTGATAAGGGATAGAATATGATTCAACGCGTTGTAAGAGTTTAATATATGGTAGCTTTATTACTTGTGGAGATGGAGGTGTGGTACAATGATCTACGTTTAATGTGCTGAATGATGTTATGTTTATATTGGGACTCGCACATGAATAAGCTATAAACGCCTTCGCTGGTAATCAACATACAAAAAATGTTACTATTATGCAGAAGTGAACGGTGGGGTGTTTACACATTTTGTTAAATGGTGTATATTCATATAACTGTATAGAAAGTAAATGGTTTAATAATAAGTATTTAGTGATTACCTTAAATATTATATTTTGAATTCAGGA